AATACAAGTGACTCAGCAACAGTACTGCCATCATTCTATGTCCAAAAACTCAAATTTTAGTACTGTAATACATTACACTAATATATTGTGATAACGCACAATGAAAAATTGGACAGTAAAAAAGGGAAGGAACATAAAATTCACATTGATGATAACCTAACTAATGAACTGAAGACATTAATGACATCAGATAATTAGTAAAAACCCCATAAAAGCACGTGTGAAACATATATAAATTAGACAGAAACAGAGAAGCCATATAAAATCTTGCTTTGTACAGTATACATGTTTAGGGATGCTTTGTAGAATAATAAATTAATCCAATCTATTATTTATATAAAGCAGAATCTTTTATAGATATATTCAATCAATCAAACTTGTAGCAGAAACCAAGACAGGATAACAATACTTTTGCCAGTCCATCCATTCCAAATAGCAGAGACCACCTTAGAAAATTTACGTTTGGAAAAAGTATTTACTCCATGCTCGTACAATACACTCCCTCCTCGCACCCTCAATCCAAAAAATGTAGTAGTTTGTTCCTTTTTGTAATAGTTTTTTCCTTCAGCTTTACACAAGTACAAAAACAGGAAGAAAATTTTCCATAGACCAGTTCAATCATCTATGAGGAATAAGATTAGTTTTTGGCTCTGGATTGAAATATATTTCAGATATATGCTAAACAAAATGTTCCTAGTCTCCATTAAACACTCATTTTCTTTACTTTTAATGGTGCGTTGGCATTACATCTAAAGACTGGTCTACATGAAATATATTCATATGAAGAGTATTATTTTCTTCGATATTTATTATTACACAATATTTTCCAATATCATAACATACAAGAGTAACAAGATTAAAAATCATATATTACCATGCTGATCCTTGATCTTTAAATTCACCCTCTTTGACTCGTTCTGCTTGAGAAATTGCAGAATCAGAACCAGTGCCATCCAAGTCTAAACCAGTTTTTCTCATAGGGGCACATCTTTCGTCCTGAGTTTCTGGTGACAAAGACATAAATCAATTAGTCTGCACACTAGGTTCTACCATTTTACTTAGAATAGTCGAGGCATTAATATACCTGTTGATATCCTTGATACAGAGGACGGGATGTGAGTTAAGACTTTTTGGCACATGACTGTATCCTGGAAATCAAGAAAGGTGTGGTCTAGAAAGTTCAATCTCTCTGATTCTTTCATTTCTGAGAACCCGAAAGAAGTTTTCCAAGTGTTCAACACACTAGGAACTGCTGGAAGAACGAGCCTCTCTACTCCTATTTCAATGAGTTTCTGTTAACAGTGGGAGCAAAGACGTTAATAATATATAATCAAGAAAAGCTTGGACATGCTAAATCTGACAATAGAACTCAAAGTAATCAATTACTACACTTTCACACCTGAGCGAAGTTATCTTTGCTGCATATATGAGCTTTTAACCAATAGCATACTGTATATCAGCATACTGAATAGTAAAACTAGATGAATAATTTTAGAACAATTTCTGGATTTTTGTATTTAATAAATGTCAAAGATGTAGTCAAGAACCCCATTTATGGACTCATCTAGAATTCCAAGATACTAAAACATGATTCACAAACCAAATTTCCTATCTTCTTGCCCAAAATCTAGGCCTTACAATCTAATCATCTACTATGTTGTCAATTTAATTTACAAACATCTTTCAACTCAAAAACACAAATAATATGGCTTACCTTCATCAGATATATACATATAGTATTTCGTTAGCCATAGAAACTATGCTGATCACATAGTCAGAGAAGGCCTTAATGACATCCAGTGAAAAAATTTTAAAAATAAAATTGGGTTGCGGAAGGGGGGAGGGGGACTAGACACTCATGGAGCCAGCAGCCGAACAGTTCCCCAAGGGAAGCTTTTCTGTTGCTGATATATCTGTTAACAACCTTAAGAAAGGACTAAAAGATAAATTCTTAATCTTTTAAAATATATTGCTTCTCTAAATAATTTGCAACGCCATATGATAACTGGAAAAGACAGAAAAGACCAGCACAGATCGTCAACAATAGTTAAGATTAATGTACCTTCTCAAGCTCATTCATCAAAATACGACACATCCCAAGTCGACGATATTGAAATCGTGTAGCAACAAGCGGGACTTCTGCCACTTTTTTCCCATAAATCCTGGAGTCAACAACAAGTAGCACTTCAGAATACTTTTAACAGAAGTGAAAATGAAGGTCCCTAAATCAGAATCTGCACGAACAAGATACCTTACAGTTGCCACTGAAATCAATTCATCATTTCTCTCCAAAAGAACTGTATAAAATCCTTGAAAATTCAAACGGTTTAGCTCAGACCTGCATGTTGGGTGATATTTATTAGTTCTGGAGAAAATAAAAAGTCCTGGTTTTAATGAATAAGTATCTAAAGAAGAATATAATTATGAAAACAAGTAAACACGTGGTGAGATTATGTAACATCATAAACTTACCAAGCAATTATGTACACTGTAGACAAGCATAAACAAAATTTGGCTGAAGATGCATACTGCTCTTAGGAGAGAGGAAAACTTGTTTTACTCTAGATGTCATTTGAAGTATGATGTTCTTCAGAAAGAAAAAGAATATTGAAAACTCAACATCCACATTGTAGGGAGATAATTTCCAGGACCATAAACTGCAGAATGCTATGCCACGGGAACAGCATATTTCGCATCTAAAGACTTAAGATCTTTGTAGAACCAGTCTTCCCTTACAATGGGAAAGAAATTGAGAAAATCCCTAAATTGCATATCTATATAGGTCAATGGTCCCACAGACAGTAATGAAGGCAAAGAAGATGAATTTTATAAATACTAAAAACAGAAGTAGAAAAAGTCATGTTAATATAAATGATTAGTTATTATGACTTCTAAACAGAGGTTGATTTATCTTAACAGGGTGGAGAAAAGAATGTCATGTAAACAGGATCTCACCATCTACTAAAAATAACATCTTCCATGAGATCCCTCCTTGTGTGTGGCTCTTTGACAGGTTCAAAACATTCATGCATCACACTAAGAGCAATATTAAGCTTGCTGTAACTCTCCATCAAAAACTCGTTATGAGGCGCCTCATGATCATGTGAATCAGGTTTTATGTATTTCATTAAAGTCCAAGTCAAATTTTCATTCCCCACAGGAACTGCTCTTCCCAAAATATTGCGAAGAGACCAAAATATCTGCAAAACAAGAGTCAAAGCAAACCATCATAGGTAGAGCATTCAAAGGATTACACTGAAGAAAAGATATATGCTAGAATATCATCAAAGTTCAGAAGATAGCAGTTTTTTTTATCATGAAATAGACCGTATCTCATGCTCTCATGACAGCCTAAATTAACAGGAGATATAATTATTTTTTCTAATGTGGTGTATGTCATAAAACAAGGAATTAGACATTACAAATAAGCTCTAAGAGCATCTCCAAGAAACTCTCTTTTTATGAAGAGTATTTTATGTATAATAGAGAGCATCTTTAAATTTAGAAAGTAATTTTTTACACACTCCAACAAACTCTCTATTATGGCTCTTCATTTTGCATTTTTTTCCAAGAACATTTACTGATTTCTACTCATCATTTATTTAAATATTTTTTTATATGTCAATGGTCAATTAATTCAAATGTGATTTGAATAATTTAAG